GTACCAAAGTTAAATCAGGAGCAGATAAACCATTTAAACAGTCCTATAACCCCTACAGAAAGAGCAGCAGTCATTAAAAGTCTCCCCACTGTAAAAAGCCTGGAACCAGATGTTTTTAGTGCAGAATTCTATCAGACCTTCAAGGAAGACCTAATACCAATTCTCTTCAAACTACTTCACAAAATAGAAACAGAAGGAACACTACCCAATTCGTTCTATGAAGCCAGAATTATGCTTATACCTAAACCACACAGATACAACAAAGAAAGAGAACTTCAGACCAATCTCCCTTAAGGATATCAATGCAAAAATACTCAATAAATTTCTTGCAAACAAAATCCAAAAACACATCAAAAAAAATCATCCATCATGACCAAGTAGGCTTTATCCCAAGAATGCAGGGATGGTACAATATATGGAAATACATCAACATAATCAACTATATAAACAAACCCAAAGAAAATAACCGCATGACCATCTCACTAGATGCTGAGAAAGCATTTGACAAAATTCAACATCTCTTCATGGTAAAAGTTTCAGAAAGATTAGGAATTGAAGGCCCATATCTAAACATAGTAAAAGCAGTATACAGCAAGCCAGTAGCCAACATCAAACTACATGGAGAGAAACGTGAAGCAACCCCACTAAAATCAGGGACTTGACAGGCTGCCCATTCTCTCCCTATCTATTCAATATAGTACTGGAAGTCCTAGCTTCAGCAATTAGAAAACAAAAGGATGTCAAAGGAATACAAATAGGAAAGAAAGAAATCAAAATATCACTATTTGCAGATGATATGATAGCATACTTAAGTGACCCCAAAACTTCTATCAGAGAACTCCTAAACCTGATAAACAACTTCAACAAAGTGGCTGAATATAAAACTAATTTAAACAAATCAGTAGCCTTCCTCTACTCAATGAAAAAAAAAAACAGGCTGAGGAAGAAATTATGGAAATGACATCCTTTACAATAGTCACAAATAATATAAAATACCTTGGTGTGAATCTAACCAAGCAAGTGAAAGATAAAGTCTCTGAAGAAAGAAATTGAAGATTTCAGAAGATGGAAAGATCTCCCATGATCATGAATTAGCAGGATTAACATAGGAAAAATGGCCATCTTGCCAAAAGCAATCTACAGATTCAATGCAATTTCCAACAAAATTCCAACTCAATTCTTCTTAGAGATAGAAAAAGCAATTTCCAAATTCATTTGCAATAACAAAAAAACTCCATGATATCGAAAACTATTTTCAACAACAAAAGAACTTCTGGAGGAATCAAGGATCTCAAGCTGTACTACAGAGCAATAGTGATAAAAACTGCATGGTATTGGTACAGAAACAGGCAGGAAGATCAATGGAATAGAATTGAAGACCCAGAAATGAACTCACACACCTATGGTCACTTGATTTTTGACAAAGGAGCTAAAACTGTCCAGTGGAAAAAGGACAGAATTTTCAACAAATGGTGCTGGTTCAACTGGAGGACAACATGTAGAAGAATGCAAATTGAACCATTCTTATCTCCTTGTACAAAGCTCAAGTCTAAATGGATAACGGACCTCCACATAAAACCAGATACACTGAAACTAATAGAAGAGAAGGTGGGGAAGAACCTCGAATACTTGGGCACAAGGGGAAAGTTCCTGAACAGAACACCAATGGCTTAAGCTCTAAGACCAAGAATTGACAAATAGGACCTCATAAAATTGCAAAGTTTCTGTAAGGCAAAGGACACTGTCAATAGGACAAAATCCAATAGAGGGCTAATATCCAAGGTATACAAAGAACTCAAGAAATTAGACTCCAGACAACCAAATAACCCTATTAAAAATGGGGTACAGAGGTAAACAAAGAATTCTCAACTGAAGAACCTTGAATGGCTGAGAAGCATCTAAAGAAATGTTCAACATCCTTAGTCATCTGGGAAATGCAAATCAAAACAGCCCTGAGATTCCACCAGGCTAAGATCAAAAACTCAGTTGATACCAGATGCTGGTGAGGATTTGGAGAAAGAGGAACACTCCTCCATTGTTGGTGGGACTGCAAGTTGATATAACCACTCTAGTAATCAGTCTTGTGGTTCCTCAGAAAATTGGACCTACTATTACATGAGGACTCAGCTACACCATTCCTGGGCGTATACTCAAAAGACACCCCAACATATAACAAGGAAACATGCTCCACTATGTTCATAGCAGCCTTATTTATAATAGCCAGAAGATGGAAAGAACCCAGATGTCCTTCAACAGAGGAATGGATACATAAAATGTGGTACATTTACACAATGGAGTACTACTCAGTTATTAAAAACAATGACTTCATGAAATTCTTAAGTAAGTGGATGAAACTGGAAAATATCATTCTGAGTGAAGTAACCGAATCACAAAAGAACACACATGGTATGCACTTACTGATAAGTTGATATTAGCCCCAAAGTACACAATACCGAAGATACAAGTCACAGACCACATCAAGCTCATTCATGAAGAAGGAAGACTAAACTGTTGGTGGTTCAGTCCTTCTTAGAAGGAGTAACAAAATACTCACAGGAGTAAAAACAGAGACATAGTGTGGAACAGAGACTTAAGGAGGGGCTGTCCAGAGACTACCCCACCTGGGTTTCTATCCCATGTGCAGTCACCAAAGGCAGACACTGTTGTGGATGCCAGGAAGTACATGCTGACAGGAGCCTGATATAGCTGTCCCATTAGAGGCTCTGCCAGAGCCTGACATATACAGAGGTGGATGCTAACCATTGAACTGATTACAGGGTTCCCAATGGAGGAGGTAGAGAGAAGACTGAAGGAGTCGAAGGAGTTGTGGCCCCACTGGAATACAATACCATCTAACCAGAGCTCCTAGGGTCTAAACCACCAGCCTGGGAATATATAGGGAGGGACTCATGGCTCCAGCTGTATATATACAGGAGGATGGCCTTGTCGGGCATAGGTGGGAGAGGCGATCCTTGGTCCAGTGAAGGCTGGCTGCCCCTGTGTGGGGAAATTAGAGGGTGGGGAGGTGGGAGTGGGTGGGTGATGGTACATCTCATAGAAGCAGGAGGAGGGGTGATAGGATAGGGGGTTCCTGGGTGGAGAAGGTAAGTGGGGAAAGGGTATAATATCTAAAATGTAAATAAAATATCCAATAAAAAAAAAAAGAATTTGAAGACAAAAAAGAAGTGAAGTCAACATTATATCATTTTAAAATGTTTGTGTAAAAAAAGCAATAATAAAGAAACTGTTTTTCTTTTTCATTGCTGAGGATCAACCTCAAAAAAACTTGAAACATGCTATGCGAACACTTTACAACTAACCTACAGAGTAAACCCTTAGAATCTTTTTTATTGGATATTTTATTTATTTACATTTCAGATGTTATCCCCTTTCCTCATCCGCCCTCCCTCAGAAACCTTACAGACTTTTTAAAGACAGGGTCTTCCTACACAATATCCCAGGTTGGCCAGGAATGTGCAGTATAATCTAGGCTGACTTCAGACTTGAGATCCTCTTGCTTCTACTTCTCAAATCCTGAGATTACAGGAGTGTTCCACTTAACTTGGAAAGAGCTTATTCTTGACTCTGAAAATCTTGTAGGTATTTTCGGGGCTTGCCTGATCTAGTACAATGAAGGTAAATGATTCTTACATTTAGAAACAGAATTTTTTAGAATCTAGTAACAAAAGACTAATGTCTTAAAATATTAGAACAGATGTTTTAGATATTTTTTTCTAGTGAAACTGACAAAATTCAAACAGTGATACTAATTTTAGCTAATAAAAATATTTTTGTCATTGAAAGTGTAGAACCAAGTGGAAACCTGCCTATGACTGCTTTTTAAAAAAGGATAGCTGAGCACATTGCACTTTCCTCCTTGCTTATACTGGAGACGTCCTAAGCACAATTTTGAGAGATTTCCATCAGTACTCATTGCTTGGTTATAAGATCTTCAATCCTTAGGATCTACCTTCCTGGGCCCCAGTGAGCACAGAGTCATACAGATTATAATCATAATTTATTGTCACATCTATTTGAGAGGGTTAGCTTGCTCTAAATGTCAGCATACTAGTCAGTTCATATTTTGGCAACCATGCCTAAGTGTTCTCTTACATTCATGTTACTGGGGTAGGCTCTTACTAGGCACATATCGCACTCTTATGTTCCATTTGAAGCTAGAAAGTTCATATAACTAATTACAGCTAAAAAATTTCAGTTGTGCAATGCTGGTGTGAGTAGATAAATGCAGGTGTGAGAAAGGTAAAAGATCCTTAATAAATCTAGTATTCTGGGGATACTAGATTCACTTCTACCTTTTAGTCAATAATTTAAATTTACCTTATTAAAGTAGCCAATTAACCTATATATACCACTATACGTAAAAATGAACTAAGTGTAAGAAGTAAAATAGTGAAAAAATCTTCAACTCCTACATACATATTCGTAATCTACCTCAATAAATACCCCATATTTTTATTATCATGATTTTACTCATCTTAATGTGATTTTCTACCTAATATTGTTACTTTGCTAAGAAAATATTATTCCTTATGGGGTCAAAGTTTCTTAGCAGCCCTCTTGAATCTATGAGCTATAGTTGCATTGTCCCCTCAGGCAAGGTCTCTACTTTGTTTCCCCATATACTCTTTGATGTAATGCTTTGAGAAGAACATACCTCTTCTGAGATTCTTCCGAATAATTCATAAACTCTAATTTTGAAAAGACATAACTAAGCCTCAATTGAAGAACATTCTATAGGATAATGGATCCTCTTCTAAAACTCACAAGTAGCTCTCATTTCATTAAATAAAACATACTGTAAAAAATGATACATTTGATAAACTTGACAACGATGGAAAATGCTTCATCAACTATTCTTTTAGTTGTTTCATAAAATCAATGAAATAATCCCATTCTTATCAGTCAACTTGTTTCGCTTTATTTTCTTTTAAGTGGGTACAAATGGTTTTATGTTATGTTTCTCTCACTTTTCTCCACAGGTGGCTCAGCCAACCTCACCTGCAGAGCTTTCTTTGGGTACAGTGGAGATGTCAGTCCTTTAATTTACTGGATGAAAGGAGAGAAATTTATTGAAGATCTGGATGAAAATAGAGTTTGGGAAAGTGACATTAGGTAAAATAATTTTTCTACTTTTAAGCATGTGGAGTTAAAATTTGCTCTGTTAAACGGGGGTGGGGGTGAGCCAAAACAACAAAAGTTATTACTATTTTCTCTCTCGATTATCATAAATAAATTCTATAATACTTTATGTTAAACAAAGAATTGTTGAGGCTGATTATGAAATTACAAAATGTGAACATAATATACAAAGAATTTAAGAGTAATTCTTTTTTTCTAAATATTTTTTATTATTACTTCTTTGGTATTTCATGTAGTATGTCTTGATGATATTCACAAACAAAGCCAACTTGTCTACCTAAGAATAATTTCAAAAGAAACATTTCCCTAGTAATACACTAAAACCAGAACAATGGAAAATATTAAAGCCCATTTTAACCTTAGAAAAATTATTTTCCATTTAATTTATGAAATCAACTTTTAAAAGTTACTGAGAAGAAGCCAACATGGTGACTAATGTCTGTAAACACAGTGCTTGATAAGCTCAGACAGGAAAGTTGCCATGAACTGAAGACTAACCTGGGTCACCTGAGTGTCAGTCTGAGCTAGAATGAGATACTGTCTCTAAAAAGAAATCCTGAAAGGAACCATCAGCAAGACACTACATAGACTTAAGTACAACCTTTATATTTTCTGTGAATGATATTACATATCTAAAAACTACGAAGTAGCATGTAAAATGCTTGATGGGTTAATAGAGGATATACAAGTTTTCTACTTCAAGGTATATATATTTATAAAGAAGAAAGAGTAGGAGAACAAACCTTTAAATTTTTACATATCTATTTTGAGTGAATAATTGTTATACTTTTTTAAATGTACTTACATATTTATTGACTTACATTTAAGCAAAAAGATATTCAGTGATGAAGGAACTTGTATTTGGACAAGAAGAATTAGTTCTAATTCTAATGTAAATGAGCAAGAACTTTCATAGTGATAAATAAGTTATAAGCAAATCAAATGATGAATATTTTCTAAATATTCTTCAACATAAAGCTTGTGTCTTCTGGCAGGATGAGGGGATTTAAGCAATGGTTCTCCTTTTTTTTATAATTTATTTTTTCTCAAATCGTAATTCATTCACACAGGGGTTATAAACACAGAAAGGCAGGATGTGGGGAAGGGAATGACAATGGAGTGTGGGTGTTCAGGGGGAATACAGATATCTTTCAGACCAGGGTATCGGCTGGGTGAGGGTTCAGGGGACAGGTCACTATGACTCTGCCTATGATTCACTTGTCCTTATCTAAGTTGGTATTGTCTGCCCAGGCTACCTATTTACAAGGTCTATGACTACTCAGGCTTGTAAATTTCCACAAAAGCTGCCTGTTTACATTAGCCTATAGCCATCTGTTTCAATGTTTTTCCACAGAGACCCAAGACTTGGTGTTAGTATACATGTATGACAGGCTTACTGCTGATTTTAGGCCTATAGCTGATTTTAGGCCTTCAGTGTGTAAGCAGGGCTGCCCCTGACATCTCCTCCCTTCTCTAACTGTAGAAGGGCTGTGGCAATTCTAAACTTGCGAAGGCGGGGATAGAGGCTTGACCTCCAGTATTTGAAGGGAACCTTGTAATGGCTCCAGTCCCCTTGTCGTTGTCCAGTGACGCATGGAGAGATGGCTCAGTGGTTAAGAACACTGACTGCATTTCGAGAGATCCTGAGTTCAAATCCCAGCAACCACATGGTGGGTCACAGCCATCTGTAATGAGATCTGAGGCCCTCACGGTTCTCCTTTTTAAAATGTCAAGACTTTAACTTTAACAAAAATAGGAGAAAATGTTTTTCTGTATGAAGAAAAAAATGTATAAAACTGCTGTAGGAGACCACTTCTATTGGAATCTTTTCTCTGGCAACAAATACACAATATCTCACTGAGGAGTGCTCCAATTTGATTCTGGAAGATCTAAATGGACAAATGTCCAATATGAAGAAAAATTTTTCTTTGTCATTTTTCATATTTAAAATATTTTATTGTTTACCATTTTTTTTGCATTTTTAAAATTAAAGAAGTACCATGGACCTAAACTGTCTAACTTTGACTATATGAGCTGGTTGAATGCTCTAGAAATTTGTTTATTTAATAATATATATAATATAATATATAATATATGATATATAATATATAGTACATAATATATAATACATAATATGTATATTTATATATTTATATGAATACATACATACATATACATTTATGCAGGCAGGAGTATGGAACTATTAATATTGAGAGCAGGAAAAAGGAAACCTAGTTTAAGAAATTTTCAGTGTGTTTTGAGAGCTTGCTAAAATATCTGAGGATCAGATTAGTGAGCATTTACCATTAATTTTAAAAGTCAGAATTAAATACTAGAACTTTTAGTCTATGGTTTATGGTTTCATATTTCTTTAAAACTATGCAGCTCATTTGTATCATTAGGAAAAATAAGTCAGGCTGGAGGTTTCAACTGCTATGTCAAAATAACTCAGAAATTTTCTTTCTTATTCTTGTTAAAAATAATCTGATATATAATTAGAAATCCAGCCTAACATTTTAGAATCTCTTATCTCATTTTTAAATCATATTTCTTCTTAAAGGAAAAGTAATTCATAAACTTTTCTTCAAGGTCTCTCTCACCTCTTTATTATGACAATACGATTGTCCTGCTATGAGAGATAATTAACTGCTAGTTCATTAGCATCTGCAAAGACAAGTTTCTTCATTAGAAGTGAAAAAGAAAAGGGCATGATATCATTTAATTAACTTAGCATCAATTCATAGCCAGATTTGAAGCACAAACTCTGTAGGTATATTCTCATCAGATTCAAATTCATCTACAATTCTTTCTTTTTCATGTGTGTGTATGTTTGTGTGGGTTTTTTGTTGCGTTTTCTTTTATGTTTTAGAATCCTTAAGGAACATCTTGGAGAACAGGAAGTTTCTATCTCTTTAATTGTTGACTCTGTGGAAGAAGGTGACCTGGGGAACTATTCCTGTTATGTTGAAAACGGGAATGGACGTCGCCATGCCAGTGTTCTCCTTCATAAACGAGGTGAGTGGAACTTTCTGCTTGAGGGAGGAGGAGATGAGTTCCATAGAAAGGAAATCATTGGAATCTAATAAAAGAAAATTACCTTTTAAAAAAATTTCTCCATAAACCTAGCACAAGTAAAACCATCTCATTAGCACTATGTCCATGAAGGTCTTACTTGACTTATGCCTGTCAACCCAGTTTAAAAGCCAGTACTCAGAGGTGAAATCTGGTAGAAGAAAGCCAGGTTTGATTAAGGGTTAGCACCTGGCTATTTGTCCCGAAATGAATGACGTTTTAAGAGAATTCAGGTATAGAAATGAGTTTGACTTTTTAGGGGGGGGTGGTGGGGTAAGGGGTAGGAGGAAAGGGAGAGGCAAGGAACAAGAGAAAAGTTCTGTTCTATGAGTGATTATTACCTAAAACAATTCCCTATCCTTGAGTATGTGACTTCCACTCCAGAAGATTGAAGTTGACCTCCTGTACCAGTTTCTGTATTTTTTTTAATTAATATGACTGGCCTGAGAGTTAATCCTCAAAACAATTTGCATTCTTTTTGTTTGCTGATGCACAGAACTGGAATAAAAAAGAGCACATCCTGATTTGGTCTAAGGGCATCCAGCTGTTCTGGGTTTTGTAAATTTAAAGATCATTTAGCAGTTAACATCTTCATCATTGCCAGGTGGTGGTGGCACACGGCTTTAATACAAGCACTTGGGAGGCAGAGGCAGGCGGATTTCTGAGTTTGAGGCCAGCCTGGTCTACAGAGTGAGTTCCAGGACAGCCAGAAATACACAGAGAAACCCTGTCTCAAAACCCCCCCCAAAAAAATCCAAAAACCAAAAAAAAAAAAAAAACACATCTTCATCATTTAGATGCAACTTTCTTGAAAATGTAGAATGGTGAGCAATGGCAAATCACATAGGGAAAACCATTACTACAAAAGAAGAGAGCATCATAGATGGATGACTAAATCAAACTCCTGTCAACTTTGGATTCTTTGCCTTGCTTTAATTTCAAATATATAGCCTGAGAAAATAGTTCTCATGTCAGTTTATGACATATAAAATGAAAAAATATTATCAACTCTTTAGTGTTTTAAAAAGACAACAATTATAACAAATAGGAAGGGCTTGATACAGTACTTACACACAGAAGATGTCATTAAAATAACTTTATTTTTAATGCAATAAAGTGTGTCATGATTGGAAGGTTGTTTCATTAGTTCAAGAACTGTGTCTGATGAATTTCTCAATCAGTGTTTCTTGACATTTTAACCTCGTAAAGTTTTTACATACATAATATCCTCCCATGAGCAATAGTAACTTACTGTAAGTAAGATAGGTTGTAGTTATGGGTAGTGTCTTGAAATAGTAACTTTTTCTCCACAGCAGCTTATCAGTTTATACACAGGTGTGTGTGTGTGTGTGTGTGTGTGTGTGTGTGTGTGTGAGAGAGAGAGAGAGAGAGAGAGAGAGAGAGAGAGAGTGTGTTTTGTTTGAATTGTTTAAGATTAAAGATGATTATAAAATGTGTGACTTGGTGAAATTTTCATGCATGTTAGAGGAGAAGATAGTTTTTCTCCTTTTTACTAAGTTAAAACATTCTAGTTTACTTATGCCAAGTACACTTGGTACTCTCTTACTCAGCAGATTTACGATGATTTTAATTTCAAAGCATATCTCCAATCCTAGAGTCTTTGAGGTTTGAAAAGAAAGAGAACACTGAAGACTGTTCCCTACCTTATTGGGAAATAGTTTCTCTTTGAATAGTGTTGCTGAAAGCTATTAAAATAGACACCTTGACTGTCAAGGTGACTATAATATTAAAGTAGCATATTATGCTGTAATGTGAAGAGAGAGAAAAAGGAAGCAGCAGCTAGCAACATTTCCTGTGCTTTAACAACAGTCACACAATGAAGGAATTTGAGTGAGGCCCTGTGTATGTACAGAAGTAAAAACGTGACCTCAGTGGACCATAGACTTAACACTTATCCTACCACAGATCCTTCAAAATAGCCTGTCAGCTTATACTGGACCACATTCCTTCTCTAGAAAATCCATTCTAGGTTTGGAAGAATCTGTTAGAAAGCATCTCCATTTCTCTGGTTTTCTATCCACTGGCTCTAGTTTATATATTCAATTGCTCTTTCCTTAGCAATCAGATATTTGATAATAGTAACAATGGCCCTGCTGAACCTTCATTTCACCATGCACTCATTCTTTATTTATATGTTTCATCCCTGAAACTCTCTTGAATATTCTCTAAATGAAGAGTTTAAATTAGTCCTTAAGAAGTGAACTAGTGAAGAGAAGCTTAGGACACATGTTAAAAATCTGTTGGGTTGGGGACTGGTGAGTTACGAGCACTTGTTTCTCATGCAGAGAATCTGAGTTCAGTTGCCAGCATCCTTATGGTGGCTAACAACAATTTATAACTTCATTTCTATGTGATCTTCTGACATCCGTGGGCACCAGGTACACATGTGGTACACATATACGCATGCACACAAAATACTCATAAACATAAAATAAAAGAAATCTAAAAAGAATTTTAAGTCTGTTAATTTGGATAAAATATATTTCCATGTGGAGCAAGGGAGATATGACAGTTAAGGGATTATTATAAACAAGTAGGCTTGACAATGTACTGGATGTAGTGGTGAAGCTAATAAAGCTGCTTTTTCAGGCAGGTATGCAGTTAGGAAGAATCAAACACACTCTAGGATGCTTCTAGCATGTTTAGCCTAAGGTTACGCATATAAAGCTACTAAAGTTTCCAGTTAAAGCAAAGTACAATTTTGAAAAATCAAGGAAATTATTTAATAATAAATACCATCAGTGGCCGATTATGTGAATACGAGGAAGAAAAATGTGGCCAATTTTAGTTGCTCTCAAATACTTAAGTTTCCCATGATACTCTTCCAAATTTGTATTTATATAAACAAGTTTGTTCTCATTAAGATGAAAGTATTAATTCCCAAAGAGTCCTTTGAGTTTGTATACTCTGAAAGTCTATTCTTTTTTTTCTTAAAGATTTATTTATTTTATTTATATGAGTGCACTGTTGCTGTCTTCAGACACACCAGAAGAGGGCATTAGATTCCATTACAGATGGTTGTGAACCACCATGTGGTTCCTGGAAATTGAACTCAGGACCTATGGAAGAGTAAGTAGTCAGGGCTCTTAACCACTGAGCCATCTCTCCAGCACTGAAAGTCTGTTCTTAAAGTGAATGTGCACCTTCTTTGTAAGAGAGCTGGAGGAAAGGAGTCTTCCATTGCAAAGGCAATAATGGATGTAATCTTCTCACAAAGGGCTCATTCTATAAAATGACCACACCAGTCTTGAAAATAAGGAAACTGGTCAGCATAGGACATAATTGTAACTTCACTACCAGGACAAAGTTCAGAAAGAGAGAACATAGCAAATATGATCCCATAGGTTTGAATCTTCAATGGTAAGGTCTCTGAGACTATCAGATTTCTGCCACACAATCAATTATGCAGTTTTCAAATCATTATCTACATTTCTCAGAGGACCAATGCTCAGAAAAACAACTGGAGCTGCCTTTGTTAGTTTTTTGTTTCTGCCACCAACTTAAGACCTCCTTAACTTACCAGTTTTCAAAATCTCTCTTCTAAAATATTTTTTGTAGAGCTATATTAAAATATTTGTTTTCATCTAGATAGATCAGTGCTTCTCAACCTTCCTAATGTTGAGACCTTTAATGCAGCTCCTCATGTTGTGGCGACCCCAACCATAAAAATATTTTTATTGTTACTCCATAACTAATTTTGCTACTGTTATGTATCGTAATATAAATAGCTGTGTTTTTCAATGGTCTTAGGTGATTCCCATGAAAGGGCCATATCCCTGAGGAGAGGTGTGAGTCACAGGTTGAGAACAGCTGATTTAGAACTTTAGAACTCAGAACTGTAATTTCTGAAGATAAAGTTTATCCAAAGTTCTCTAAACATATTTCCTCCACTGTCCCTTTTTGTTCAATGTTGTTGATATAACATGATTTCAGCCCTACAATGAGCTACAGTATGGACTTAGAAAGTATACTCCTGTCCATCAAGTGAGTCTACATTTGAGGTAGGCTCAATGCTATATTATTTTTTTAATAATTTATTTTTTTCAGATCATAATTCATTCACATAGGGGTTATAAACACAGAAAGGCAGGACGTGGGGAAGTATATGACACTGGAGTGTGGGTGTTCAGGGGGAATACAGATATCTTTCAGAACAGGGTATCGGGTGGGTGAAGGTTCAGGGGACAGGTCACTATGACTCTGCCTATGATTCACTTGTCCTTATCTAAGTTGGTGTTGTCTGCCAAGGTTACCTATTTACAAGGTCTATGGCTACTCAGGCTTGTAGATTTCCACAAAACCTGCCTGTTTACATTAGCTTATAGCCATCTGTTTCAATGTTTTTCCACTGAGACCCAAGACTTGGTGTTAGTATACATGTATGACAGGCCTATTGCTGATTTTAGGCCTATGGCTGATTTTAGGCCTTCGGTGTATAAGCAGGGATGTCCCTGACATCTCCTCCCTTTTCTAAGTATAGAAGGGCTGTGGTGATTCTAATCTTGTGAAGGTGGGGATAGAGGCCTGACCTCCAGTAATTGAGGGGACCTTGTAATGGTCAGTGCTATATTATTATTAGCCCTCTATCTTTTTTCAAAAAAATATTCATGATTTAATATAGCCAGTTGAAATCTACCAGGAAATTTGACCAGCAAAAATCTTCCCTTAAGAATATTTAAAGTTGTCAACTCCTATATCCAGTAAAAGAGGTAATTGGGAAATTAGAAAAACGTCAGAGAGAGAGAGAGAGAGAGAGAGAGAGAGAGAGAGAGAGAGAATGAGAAGGGGGGGCCTGAGAGTCTGTTTATGAGTGTTCTGACTCTTTCTCCTTACTCCAGTAAGCTGCCTATTTTCACTTAACTGCTAGTGTCTGGCCTAGAAAACTTGAGAGTTAAATACTGGCTTCAAAAAGAGCCAAACTC